ACGGATGGACAGACAGAGAACTGTGTGCGTGTGTGTGTGTGTTGTGGTGTGTGCGTGGGTGCGTGTGCATGAGCACACGCGTGTGAGTCTCCGGGTCCCCGTGCAGGGGTCCCTGGGTGCCCGCCCTGCTGTACCATGACCTCCTGTGCCGGCAGTGCCAGGGGGACCGAGTGAGAATGTAAGGGCTCCCCGTGGGCCTCCCTGCCCCCGTCCCTCCCTGTCACCCCGAGGGGCGCAGCTCCTGGCTCCAGCGTCCTAGGGTGCCTGAGCTGAGCCTGCAGGGATGCCCGTGCGGCGAGCCCCCCACCCACGCGGCACCTTGCGCCTGGGGTGAGTGTTCGCACACGCCTGCCCCCCAGGCCCCACCTCCCACCCTGTCCCTTCGAGACTGAGATTACGGGTACCGAAGGCGGGAGCCTTTAACTTCTATCCGAGAGGGTTACTCCAGACGAGTGTACATTTCTCTAGACGCCGTGTGACGCGCGTGTGTGTAGTATCCGCATGAAGAAGGCGGGCACATCAGCCGCACGGGCCCCGGGGGCTGGGGTGGGAGGCCCCTGTGGGCGAGACACCGAAAACCGCCCGAGTGGAGGCTCCCCGGCAGCAGTTTTGTTTTAAAAATTGTACCTGGACCCGTGTGTTCGTAAAGCTATTTATGGGCCCCCGACCCCTTCCCTTCTCCCCACCCCCAAAGCTGTAGTGCTCAGCCCGCCCCACGGCGGCGGCGACTTCAGTCTTAACTTATTAACAGCTGAGAGGGTTTGTGCTTCGTTTAGAGGGGCCGCTGGGCGGGGGAGTGGCCCCTCACACCCAGAGGTGGCGAGTGGTGCGAGGGCCTCCGGGGAGGATAGGGCTTCCCCTGGCCTTTCGCGGGGGATTCGATTATCTAGGACTTTCCTGTAGGAGATTTATTTTTTGGACTTCAAGGCAAGCTGGTATTTTCATACACGTTCTCACTGCCGTGTGCGGGCGGGAGGCCGTGCGCTGTGGGCCAGCCCGCACCAGGCTCAGATGTTCTTAGATGTTACGAGTTTATATATATCTATATATATAATTTATTGAGTTTTTACAAGATGTATTCGCTGTAGACTTAACACTTCTGACGCAATGCTGTAGCCTTTATAGCCTGGGCCGCTGCCTTTCGGAGCTGGGGGGGACGCGTGAGTTCAGTGCCGTCACTTCCCGTCCTGCTAGCGCCCCACGTGTCGGCCGGCGAGCCCCACAGGGCTGGGGTGGTTTGTTCTCGGCCCCCTGCCTTGTGAGGGCCAAAGGTGTCACCCCAAACTGGCAAACGCGCTTCCCAGAAATAAACAAAGATTCCGTTCAGCCTCTGCCGCAAGCCTTCCGGTCTCCTGCCCTCGCCGCCCTGTCGCCGGCCGAGTGTGGGGGCGGGGGTGGCCCACTGTTGCAGGAACAGCGCGTGCTGCGGGAGGAGACCCAGGCGGACATCCCTGGAGGTCCCGGCACAGGGCTCCGGCTGGGGTAGGGCGTCCTGGGCAAGGCCTGGGGCAGGTCCGTGTGCCCAGCTGCGAGGGGCCTGGCAGGGCACGGTCTCCATGGCCCGGGTCTCGGGTCCCCAGTGGCAGGAAGCCCCGTGTCTGTGGGAGGGGACGGAAGCCACCATGGGGGTGGGCGAGCCCAGCTCCCGGAGTCCAGGTTGGCTAAGGGGGGGTTACGTCCAGACACCTGCACCCTGGTTGTGAGGTCCCCCCTCTGCGCCCTAACCCCTGGCATCCCCTCCCCTGTCAGCTGAGCAGGGGCAGGTTTCTAGGAGGGGCCCCCAAGGAGCCCCCAGACGGCACTAGTGGCCACGCTCCTGCTCCTGGCTGGCTTCCTGCCCCCCCACCAGGGCTGCTGCCCTCCCAGCCGGCTCCACCTGCGCTCCTGCGCCCCCACACCTGACTGGGCAGGAGAGGACACCACAGGGCACCCACGGGCAGTGATGGGGCACGCTTAGGAAGGCTTCCTGGAGGAGGCAGCAGTGCCCACAGGTGGGAGACGGGTGGGTTCGGGGACGGTGGCATGCAGCCCTCCACAGGTCCTGACCCAGCACTCCGGGCTGCCCCCAACCGCTGGTAACCCATGTCGGTCCTTCCTGTCTCCCCTCCCGCTCTCTTGGAGTTGGAGAGCTACAGGGCTGTGTGCGGCCCCTTCTGCTGTGTGCACCTTACCTGTCCTGGGTTCCAGGCAGCGGTGTGGCCGATACGCTGACGCCACTCAGGGAAGCGCCTGGCCCTCCAGACCCCAAACCGTGTTTGGCCAGAGCACCCGGTCAGGACGCCGCGGCAGGGCGGGAGGCCAGGGAGGCCAGGACAGCGCGGCCGGGGCGCCCTCTAAAAAAAAAACGCCGCGCCCCCCCCACCTGCTCGGGACACCAGGGGCCCTGGCCGCCGGGTGTGGGGGGCCTCCTGGGAGGCCGGTGGAGACCTCAGCGTGGCACTGGCCGGCTCCGGACGCCAGACAAGCGGGCACAGATGGCTCCTGCATCCGTGCCTCCCCTGACCTCACCGAACCCACCAGCCCGGCTCCATCTCAGGCCCTGCCCCTCGCCCTCTGGCCACCCCACCCGCCTGCTCACCTCCTCCCTGCCGGGTGGGCGGGTGTGGGAACAGATGGGGACGCTGCTGCTCAGGTTCCAGGAGGCACCACGGAACTAGGTGCACATCTCCCCAGGACCCACCAGCGTCTGGTCTGGAACGGCTCCCCCTTCTCCCGCTGGGGGGCTGCGATGTGCACCAGGCCCTGGCCCTGCCCCAGTGCCCGGGGCCTGCAGGGCAGGACGGGC